AGAAGAAAACCTTGGGGACACATGGCTCGGTGATGACCATTGGGAGCAGCCACCAGCCCCATCATGCTTATAAGGCATGTGATGCCAAGGCTGGCACCACTCAGCTTTTGTAACGTAAAAGGCTAGTGTAATTTGCCTTCCCATCCTTCACATCTAGGAACTGCCAGTGGTTGAAAGAAAAGCAATTAAATTAATCACTAAATCACTTAAACATTCCCCTCCATCCCATTCTCTTTTTCTACAGTCCATTTTTGTCAGCATGGAAAGATAAGTCCAACAGGATCCTGCTAAATGATTCATTTGGAACACATATTTCATTTTCATAGAGTTAGCTTAAAGTATGCTAATTATCTGCATGGCCCATCTATGCTTGAGGGTGAAAACCCTTGATCTGAAAAAACAATGAAATTGTGAAAGCTATTGGATCCACTTGTGTAGACAGTTTGATGATATTTAGGATCATGATCATTTTAGCAAAAGAGAATTTTGATTTGTTGTCTATATTCTGTTTACAGTGTGGTGAGAGTAGGGGGTATAAACAGACATATGGCATGGCATTCATTTTAACTTCTTCCTGTGAACACCATGGGTAATGAAACCTTCCCAGTTAATAAAAAGAGAATAGAAATGATTTTTTTGTTCATTTTCCCAAACGCTCACTGTGGTTATTCAGTAAGAAGTACCATATAAAAATAAATTTTAATATATAAAACAAGTGCAAAACTGATAGCATAGCCCGCCTTGGAAAGCACAACCTCCCTGTATTGAGCATGGCCCATGTTTTCTGTAATACTTTCAGAACTTCTATTCATGCAGTGAGGATATCTGATTTCTGGAATAAATCACATGGTTTCTGTTTTCTTTCTATTTGCCTTTGTGCCACAAAAATTCACAAGATTCACCCCCTACAGAGGCCTTGGGGATTCTGCGTGTTGCTAGCAGAAGTCACTGCTGTGGCTGTAGGACCATTTATCAAGTAAAAGAACGTGAGAAACATGGTGACTGTGGCTATCGAAAAGCAGACTTCTGAGAAAGAGTGCAGGACTCTAAATGGAAGAAATTAAGTGTAATGAGGAGCATTAGTGGCAGCATGTTCCAACAGAAAGGAAAGACGTTTGGGACAGGGAAAGGTTATGTTGTCAGTGCCAGAGCCCTCCTCACATGTGGCTCTTTGCAGCTGTTTCCCTGAAAGGTGCATTAATGCTAGTATTATCAATTTCCTAGAACAACAAAAAGCAGAGAAAACATTAATTGCCTTTACGAGCATTGAGAACAACTAGACCTAACAACAGGATATGAGTATTTCATAAGTGTTCTGTCTTACTACTGAACTGGTATTTACCACTCAGGAGAATAATGCCCACAAGTTCCTCTGCCTATAATAATAAATATTATCTCCATACTTCAAACTGAAGAAGTAAGTTTTGTTTCAAAAAGCAAGATGCAACCTTTGTGTGATATACCTTGTCAAGTTCCTCTGTAGAACTCCTCTACATGCTTTTTTCTTCTTATGTAAAACAATATTTTGAAGCACATTAAATAGGTATGACTAAGGCAACTATGTTGTGTTATTATTTCTAATAAATAGAGAAGCCAGGCAGTCTCTTCCATCATGACAGAGCTTGAGAAACTTCTCAAATTTGCAACCAAAAAATAATTAGTCCAAGAATCTGAAATCTATTTTTTTTTTATCACTTACTGACTGAAATTATACATTTCTTCATGAAGCACGAGTGGGTGGGATTTGCAATTTAAAGCAATTATCCTAAAGCACTGGAGTATGTTTTAGGAAAATGATTTACTCATTTTCCAGTACCTGTGACCCATTTCTGATAGACTGGGAGTCTGGCTTTATGGTAGATACTATAAAGACAGGAGCTCTTGAGTTCATATGTGAAACTACAGTTGCTGTTATAATGACCAGTAAACGCACTCTCTCACACAGTGACATTAAAAGTAGAGGCAATCCTGCAGAAATAAAATCAAATACATAGAAATCTACTGCTTAGAGGAACTCATCCAGTCTCTGAACATTCAGCAAGTCTTCTTTCCCTTCTTAAATTCTATTGGTGATACTGGTCTTGACCTGGATCTCTGACTTGTATATGTGCATTTCTCATTCAGTCTTTATTCTCACCAGGGGCAAATTGTGCTACAATGAAAGGAGCAGAAGTAAGATCTTAAGGTTCATTTATACAGGCTGAGATGACTCAATTTCCTTTTGTACCCTAATGGGAATCTGACCTAAAATGTAAGACCTAGTTTTGCTGAGCACATTATATTTCTTTTTTTTTTTTTCTAAACACAACATGAAGATAAAAGTTTAACACACTGAACACTGAAGTTTCAACATACAAGGAGCACTTTGAGGACATAGCAACTCAGGGACGTGAAACATCAATTCAGAAGTTTAGTTTCTGCCCCACATCTGTTTCAATGTCAGCCAAAGGTGCTCCTTTGGCTGTAGTTTTTGGAACTACTATGCATACAGAGAGCTCAGACTTGATTGGGTAAGGCAAGAGAACATGCAAAGCTTTTGATGTTCTAGTTGGCTTTGGTTCTGCCTGGAGCATCTACTGTTACAGCAATTGTCATTTTAACAAATCAGTTTCTTCATCTCTCTTCTTCAGTGCTACTTGGTGATTCAATCTGTGGATTGCTCCAGATGCTGTCTGTAGACAGAACATAAGGCTGCATGCATTTCCCTTCTTTATCCAGAGGCTGTGAATGTAGCTAGTTTCACAGGCACTTTAACCGGCCAAAAGCAGAGGGAGCAACCCATGCTGCTCCCTATTCCTCAATATGTTTCTGCAGACCCAACCAATCATTCTGATGTCCAAACATTATTACTACTATACGTCAGGAAGCAGCCTGTCCTTATGTGGTATTAAGCTGGATCCATACCTGGTGAGTATTCACACAGCTGTTTACCTTTCTCACTCTGTCTGTTGGAGCAATTACTCATTTCTCTTACCCCCAAGCCACCAATACATGCAGTCTCCAAAACAGGATTTCTACTTGCTCCGAATCCTTGTCTAAATGCAATATTAACTGTTTTCTCAAAGCTTTCAGAGTTTGTCTTGAGAATGTCCCACATACCAGTCTCTGTGTGCTCTTGCTCACACTCAAAACTCTTACAGTTTTTCTCCCTGAATTTCAGTGCCCTTGTTTTTGTGTATGTGTGTTCGTACTTAGTTACTGTCTATCCAATTCTTCCTAATGACTATAGTTAATAATAGAAGTTTCCCAAAGGGAACCACCCTCACATTCCACAGAAGACAACCGTTTACAATTGCAGAAGTGATGCTAGTTCAGCCCTGCTGGAATATTGGCTTTATGCTAGTGCTCACAAGGCTTTGTACATTAACCATTCTTATTTGAGTATTGACCATTCTTACTGTGGTTTAGAAACCTAATTGAAAAAAAAAAAAATCACCACATATATTATTTCCTCTTTCATTTCTAATCAATAAACTGTTTTTTACAGTCTGTGGAAAATCCCTGACTCACTGCTTTCCTTTTTACCTTATAACTATGCTTTGGCTTGGGTCAGCCTTCATGTAGTTCAGAATAACCTTCAATAGTTGCTGGTCTTGGACAGTGTTTTTTAACAGCAGAAACTCTTAAGTTGCTTTACATATATGAAGTTTACTTTATTTATGCTACTTAAGCAGTGAGTAACCACCTCTGTATTCTTGAAGACAGAGTGTTCAAGTGATGTCTATTTTTTAACTCTGCTAAACACATTGTTATTCTGGCACACATTATAAACTATTAAATATGGAAGAAGTGCAGGATAAAATACATTTATAATGAAAAATCCCCTACTCAGATGCATATTTCTTTTTGCTAAATGGCAAAATCCAGTACCTTGTAATAGTTGTTCAGCTGAAGGAATCACTGCCCAGCTTAAGACTGACCAAGTGTGGACAGGAGCAGTCCTGCCAGGTGAGTCTGTCCTACATGTCCAAGCATTGTGATGAGTTCTGACAGCTCAGAAGCTTTACAGCATTTTCTTCTGCATGAACAATAGAGTAATACTGGAAGTTGAACTTACTTGATTGCTATCTCTGCAAATAAAAATATGACTTCTTCCTTCCTGTATGTGGGCTGAGAAAACCTTCAGCTGCTCTTGGGTGAACAGCAAAGACCAAAGCTTTTTTTCACACTGATTATATGTGCTGTATGCTACGGGTGCATGAAATGGCAGTAAAGGGAGGAGGAATCACCAAACTAAGACATTACAAGGTAAAAATTAATAATTTTACTTCTATAAATAGAGTCAAAAAGCTGATCTACTTCTGAGTAATATAAACTGTTGGTATCTGGGCTATACCATTTATTATCATTTAAAAAATGATTGTTCCTACTTAAAGCCAGTTTGAAATATTAAAAACATATAGTGGAACGTTCTTTTATGCCAAGAGTGGAAAGTCGTCTTCATAAGCCTTGCAAAACTTCTTACAGCAAAGTCGATAGTGAAACAGATTTCTCAAGCCTGTCTCAAAAATATTAGTGAGCATGGGAAATAGTGGGCATGAGAAATTCTGAACTCTTTAGAATTCTTCTTAGAACATGCATTTTAAAAGAATGGGTTTAGATCAGGTTTGGACACAGTATTCCAATGGTCTTCTAAAGATACTTCGACTGGTGCTTAAAAAATCAGAATTTTCTCTGAAAATGTTCTTAAGTTACAGTCAATTACTGGGAAAAACATGACCCTAATAATGGAGATGTGCTTTATAATCATTTCACAGATGAGTGCAACAGAATTAAGAATTGCAGATTAAAGCCACATTACTGCTTCCAAACAAGAGAGTAATCAGAGAGTGAGCACATTACCTCTCTGAGACACCATATCTCAGCCATTACTACATTCTTTGGATACTCTTTATAAGGTGAGATCTCATTAGCAAAATGTTCATGTACCCTGCGTGCTACATCTGTATACTTTTGTGCAAACAGAGAACTCTGTCCAAGTGTTACATCTAAATATGAGCATGGATGTATCTGGCTACGTTCAGCAAGTGCCAATAGGTTTTCCTCCTTGAAAAAAAAAATAAATAAAATCCTTAATTATTTTTAGTTTCTCTTTACTTTGTATAATAGAGCAGTGCAAGAGAAATTCTGTAGCAAAAAATTTTGGAAATGAAGCAAGAAGAAATTGACTTCTAATCTGCAGATCCTTATTTCCAGTGCGCTCTACAAATCTAGAAACCACTGCTGCCTTACGGGTGCCCTGCAGTCATCCAGCAAAATGCTAAAAATATGGCCACGGTGTCTTCATAAATTATGCATAAATTGTACGTGCAGCCTCTTTACATTTCATTATTTTCCCTTTCTTCAATCTTAGATGCAAATTAAACTTGTAGAATTTTCAAACAGTCAGTGTCTTAATTATTTTGGAAGGCTGATAGAGGCAAATAATTGAAAAAATATCCTGTCATGCAGTTTACTGAATTGAAAACACTTTCATTATTGTAAACAATATGTTTTAACACTAAGAGATGCAGCTTATTGCTGCCATATGCACCATGAGAACTGTTTCAAGGTTATGTATATGTAAGATAATGTCAAACACAGTTCACTTACATATTACTTCATGAATCTGTAACATTCTGTAGTTAACAATAAAGAAAGGGAAACAATTTTAAGTTGAGGGAGGGAAGATTTAGGTTGGATGTCAGGGGGAAGTTCTTCACATAGAGAGAGGTGAGGTGCTAAAACAGGCTTCCAATAGAAGCTGTGGATGTCCCATCCCTGGAGGTGTTCAAGGCCAGGTTGGATGGGGCCCTGGGCAGCCTGGGCTGGTATTAAATGGGGAGGTTGGTGGCCCTGCATGTGGCAGGAGGTTGGAGATTCATGATCCTTGAGGTCCCTTCCAACCCTGGCCATTCTGTGATTCTGTGAAGGAATGAAAAATACATATCTATTTTACTAATTCCCATTTTTCTTTTACAGTAACCTTCAAAAGAGGTGCTTAGCAGGATGTCCAACAGCAGCTTAACCCAGCAGAATCAGTCTATGATGAGGACAGTGCCGGACACCTCAGACAGGCTTCGCTCTATTCTCATAACCCTGTACAGCATTGACCTAGCTGGGGGTACACTTGGTGTCCTTGTGATGGCTCACCAGTTGATTCAAAGGAAATCCCAATCTGTGATGATTATTATCATAATCAACCTCCTGGTGCTTCACACCCTTCTGTTACTCAGCATCCCCTTCCGCCTCAGCTATTACATTTCACAGGAATGGAAATTTGGGACATTCACTTGCAAGCTAGTAAGTGCCATCATCTACCTCCATATGTACACCACCTTCACCTTTTATGTTGCTATCATCGTAATACGTCTCTTTCAACTTGAGTTCAACAAGTGCTACACTACAATTTGGGTGACAACTGTCTGGATGCTAGGCACTCTGGTGATTGCTCCTGTTTTTCTCTCTTACTATGGCACCTCTAGAACATACCCTTCCTCTCAATGCTTTCAGTTCCAGCAGGAGATGGAAGAGATGCCCATGGTGGTACTAAACTACTGCTTGATCGGAGTTCTGCTGGCAGTTTGTGTTTTGCTCACTATAATCCAGTTATACGTGATGTGCAGACTGACTGTGAAATACTGGCTTGACATCAACTCCCATGTGGAATTCAGGGCTCAGGCAAAGAGTTTCTTCTTCACCTTGGTAACAATAGTGTGTTTTACGCCTCATCATGTATTCAGAGTATACTATATTCAGAATTTCCACCTGGATAAAGACCATAAACTTCTCCCATATGATGAAATTTTTTTAGCTTTAACAACAATGTCCTGCTTGGATATGTTGTGTTTCATAGCAGGCATAGCCCACTGAACTAAGAGCTATCAGGAAATCCAACTAACAGTGTGCCAGTACTGGCTCTTGGCAGAAAAAAACTGCGTCAGGACTTTACTGAGCCAGGGAGACTGCTGAGTTTTAAGATGCTATATAGGATTGTGGTAGTTTCCAGCTTTTACAGGCTAGAAGGATACACCTTTCAGAAGCTACTGTTTTTCAGCTTCTTCCTTGAAGGCAGATAGATGAACCTTACTTTGGACTTTGACCTAAATGTCATGCTGTGAATCTTCATTAAGATTTTCCTCAGCTGTCTCTCTCTAACCACTGCAGTACACCTATCCATCCTTCGTCTTTTTTTCTTCAGAGCATCTCAGTAACACGACATTGTGCCTGATAGATTGTCCACTGTGAAAATCTAACAATGTCTTTTGACAGCTGTGATGCCAAAGGAAAGAGGAAAGACATTTCTTTGCAGTATTTTTCCACAAGGAAACAAGGACGCAAACTGTACTAAAAACCGTATTTGAGGCATGAAACAGGGCATGAATTAAAAGTTCTAGTGGAGTATTTTAGAAGAAGCTTCTTTTCTTCACCTCTATGAAGTGTATATTAAACCATATGAAAGCATTTAAGATTCTAACAACTTCATCTTTACTTGCTTCATTTAAAAAATACAAGCAGCCCCCTGAATTGCAGTACTTACACCTCTAGAATTAGCAAGAGCTGAACAGGTTGCAGGTTTCAAAAAAAAAACAACCCACTGTTCAATGTTAATCTCCCACCAGGACTGAATTGGTGGAGGTTATTCCCTAAGTCTATCACAGCTACTACAGTTCCCTGCCCATAACTGGAGCTAGAATTCAAGATCGGGGGCTTCAGTACTCCGCTGAAGGATCAGCTGCTCTCTGACATGGGGAAATATTCCATCAGACTTCAAAAAATTTTTGATCAGAAGAAGTCTTTCATGTCTGGTCACTTTCATTTGCATGCTATTTATTATCAGATGCCATATTTTTCCATTTATAGATGTAACAAAGCAAAACCAGAATAAACTAACTGAACTGTGTTTAATCGGTTCAACATATGTTCCTGCATGTGTATATAAACTTTCCATGGAGTGTATATTTTTCCCATTAGATGGATTATATTCTTTGTGACTTTGAAAAGTGGAATTAAACACTTGAGTCTTGCTCTTTCAGGAACTGCATCCATCATGGAAATGTATGTTTCTCCTCATTATGTATAAGTTATTTCCATGCATGCTTGTTCTGCTCAATGTAGAAGGTCTCTACCCCTTTTGTGTAAGGCCCCATTGTCATTTGCTCTATCACAACCTGAGGCCAGATGTCATCCATCCCAGATACCCCAGACTCACCCAAGAAAATGTTTCCTTCTTCACTGCACCATGAGATGTCAGAATTCATACACTAGCTATCTTTCCTACAGAACTGTTATGGTGCCAGGATTCAAACATGCCCATAGTCGATTTGAGACGGTTCAAGAGCTACACCTATCAAGTACTGCCAGTGATGTCGCTGGCATTTTTATTTTTAACTTTTAACAAAAAGAGCATGCACTGACTTTGCCAATGCCTAAGAGATATTTTTACTTTTAATCATTGCTATTAACTTTCATTTGAAATTCCCAATGGTTCAAGGATCTTTTCCACCTCTTTATGAAGGGGGAGTCCATGGTACTATTAGCAAGTCCCAAAGCCTTCTGAAAAATCCCATACTTCCCTTAGTGATACTAGGTCCACTCCCATTCTCACAGCACAGTCTTCACAGTCCATGATTCTCGAAGAGAGCAGTTAGAGCTGCAATACAGCAGAGTAAGACAGAGATACAATGCAAAAGGACAGATTCTAAAAAGGATTCCCAAAATAGCAGTTTCTGAACTCTTTCTCTAAGCAGGATGCTCCTTATGTACCAGGGACTCTCAAGGTGAAAAAGCTTAAACAAAGCTTTGGTACTTTAGAACAATTTTGATGAAAACTAGGCAAGAGACAGGGCCTGCAGACAAGTTGTTCGTATATCTGTTACTTTAAGCTGGATCTGCCAAAGTCTTTAAGAAAACTGACAAAGCCCTGGATGGGACAGCAAGCACCTTGTTGAAGGTATGAGAACATCAGGAGTGTTCCATGCTCCATGTATTGGTATAATGTCGATCACACTATGCATTTCATATCTATCTGTATCTGAGGAGTTAGATTGCTAACACATCTTTTGTACAGTGTCTGTATTCAACCTGGTTGATTCTGAAGCTGTGTTGTCACTTTGTGTTTGACTGGCAATAGCCGGCCATCACCAGACCTGCTCTTCTTGCCTTGCTTAGGAGCTATGGGACTGCATGCTGCACTGGCCCTAGCTGGGACAGTGTTTCTAGCAGTGTGCTTGATGCTGATTTCTAGATTTGTGGGTAACATAGTGCTATTAGAACACCATTGTTTTGGCTTCTACTGTACAGTGCTTGCAGAGCATCAAGACTTTCAGTTTTTGTCACTTTGCACCCCAGTGAGTAGGCTAGGGCTGAGCAAAGTATTGGGAGAGGACAGTGATGGGATAGCTCTCCCAAATTTGTCAAAGGTATATTCCATACCATATAACATCATACCCTGACCACAAATAACGCTCCTCTCCATCTCTTGATCTTCTCCACTGATCTATCTGGGCTTAGATTTCAACCTAAGCCACTTTTTAATACTTGACCACTTTCTCTGTCTCTCTCACTGACTAGAGCTCAGCCATGTAATGTCAGACCACTCACTGATCGCAATATGGTTCCCTTAATTCAGGGAATAATGGTTTGAGCATCGATACCAGTGTTATTAGCTTTGAGACTCAGTGTTATATAGGCCGTAACCAAAACCCAGTCACCCACTGAAATCTATAAGCATTCTGAATACTGGTTAAAATAAAAGTCATCGTTCTCTAAGAGGATAATCCGAGAAGTAAATTCTGATAGGGCAATAAAGCTGAGCTCAGACTGTAAGAGATAATTCTTACTATGTATTATGCATATGTATTATGAAACGACACATTCCCTGGAAAACAGTTAAAATTGTCGGTTTGAATGCTGCTCATACAATCTAAGTAATTCTGGAGATAATTATACACACTTGTAATTGCTTTCATGTTAACCGAGTATATAAAATCATAAACCATTTAGTCATCCCATTCATTTTTAATGCTTTCATATGAACATTGGGAAAATCCCCAGACTTTCTAGAGGAAAGAATATGAAACTACTAAATGCATCTTCTGATGTTGCTGTTTGCATGAAATTGTGCTTAAGAACAGGTAAGCAAAAGAAAAAGCCTATCTGTATACCTTGACTTCCTAAATTGGGTTGGTAATAGAAATCTGTAGGCAGAGCAAGAGAATTCTTACAATCAAGAGGTAATTTGTCAACAGGACAAATGTTATATATTTTATTCTCCCAGAGGTTGCACTCTCTCTGATAAAATGTGCTTGAAGAATACATACACAGTAGATTACTTTCTCTGCTGTAGCAGAGAAGAATTGATAGACCACAGCCCAGGCACTTTTGAAAAACAGGAAGTTTGATCAGTTTACATTCACATCACCTTTGGTTCCTCTGAACACTTAGAGCATAAATGTTACAGAATCACAGAATCACAGAATCGTAGGGGTTGGAAAGGGACCTCCAGAGATCATCGAGTTCAACCCCCCTGCCAAAGCAGGTTCCCTACACCATGTGGACAACAAATGTTGTCTTCTGTAGTAAAGTTACTCTGGACATCTCAATGGAAATGTAAAAAACACAAAAAATTCATTTCCTACACATGCCCAAAAGTTTGTGAGCATTTCTGGAACTGCCTCCTGTCACAGTGCTATAATGGCTGGCCTCTTGTACCTGCCTCTTGTACTCAGACATCTCCTTTTTAAAAGAGCTGAGGGTGATGTGAACCCACAGGCAAACTGCACTAAAGACATATTTTTGTGATTCATATCTGCTAGTATTCAGAATGACAATATTAAATGAAAAAAACTCTCCATTACCTTTGTGTGCATCTATTCCTTCTGCTTGCTTATACAGTAAGGTCATATTGATGGTGCTGTCAGATGAGAATGGCCCTCACTGTAAACAAGCTGAAGGAACAGATTCATTAGGAGGAAACACAGCCCTCTTCCTTTATTTTTCTTCTCCACACGAGCATTAGTATTTGGAGTGCTAACAGATTTTGGTGGAGAAAAACAACACAGCCAGGTAATGCTATTTGCCTCAGCTCAGCTGCCAAGTTCATTCACAGCAGGATGCTCGTTACTATTTACATTGCCCATTCTGCTGTCTGCAATAGATGAAGATCATTTCCTTTGGAATTTCACAAGTAAGAACTAAAGCAGGTGTCTTGAATTTTTGTTATTTGAGTCTGAATCCCTTTTCCTGGCTATCCTGACACACCATATTTCAGTGTGACTCTCATATGAGGGAGTTGGTCTCCAAACTAAGGATTCACTTACAGCAGGGTGTTCTTGTTCAGAACAGCAGGTTTCACAACCATGTATTTTCCCTTGCAACACACATAAAGACCCACTACAGTCCCTGCCTTTTATTATATATAATCCATCTTGGGGTCTCGGTGCCATGGCATTTTATAAAGCATAAGCCAGGGAGCAGTGATGTGGGACACGGAGTATAACCATACATGAATAAACTTGTGAAAGGGGTTTTGTGTTAAAAACTACTTGTATCCATAAATGAAAGCTTTGTGTTTTTCGAGTGACTTTGTACAAATCTGTGAGGTTTGCATTCATAGCAATGATTGTTACATGAAGAATAGATATCAGATGAAAACAAACGCAAATATGAAAAATGAATTCACTAAATATGTAAATAAAGCAATAAAGTGCCCCCAATCCAAGCTACAAATGGCCATCAGAAAACAACATTTCTTAATGTCTTTTTTACTACATCATTTTCTGCTATTGGTTAAGGGCTGTAATGAATACATAGTAAGGCATAAACTTCTGTTATCATGCACAGAGTATTTGTTCATCAACTAGAACCAGACAGACAAAGAAAGGGCAGGAGTCATAGCTAAGAAGGAAGAAGGTGTTGTACCAGATGAAAGATCTGCATGGTAGAAGTCGTATAATGTAATGGCAAGAGTTAAACAGCAGA